AAATTAGGCCAATGTTTAAAGACCAATAACCTTTTCAAAAGATTATTCTTGAGTACAATAATTTTTTTAAGACAGGTGAAATATCTTTCTGGAATGGTATTTTACTATTTATGGAAGAGAAAATGGAGACACAAAGTAAAATGATTTGGAATGATTATTGGTATCAAGGTCAATGATTATAATTCATAGGGGAAAAATTTTTCTCTTTAAACAGGAAGTTTGCCCAGAAACCTTGATTATCCTTTGGAAGTTATCTGCAGCTCATTTGGAATTAGCTACTGTTTGTAATCTTAATCCCTAAATGATCTTAAATTGTGCAGAAACTTTAATTGCAGAATTTTTAAAAATGTATCACTTCACTAGATTCTCCAGTATCTTTTTAACTTATAAGTAAAAATAAGCAAAACTATTTTTCAGCAAGGAATAATATGCACTCCTGGTTAGAAACTGCAGTAAGTCAGACTCGATTTTAAAGGTCTGGATCTGTGTGTCAAAAAAAATCACTTTAGTGCTTCATACAGTATATTAAAAGTATATGCACTTTTAAGAACAAATCAATTTAAAAGAATTCTTCATGAAAAGTTTAACAGAGAGATAGTAAAATTTTCATTTTGTAAGTACTTCTTAAAGTATCTCAGTAACCATTTACATTTCAACATTGAATTTTTAAAACGCTGGAAGTAGATTGTGTGTAAGACAGCAGTCATTGGCTTTGACTGCTAGGGCTTCTTTTTCTAAGTCATCCTTTATCCCTTTAGAACATCTCTGCTAAGTTAAAGCTGTAAGAAACAACACAAACAGAAGCTATTTCTGCTCTCTATCCCCAAATGACTCTTGAAGGAGTATGTTGGCCTTCCCCCGCAGGTACTCCCACTCATCTTCCTCCTCATCTTTCACAAGAGGATGTCAATGCTTCTCCCCAGCTCAGTGTTTTTTAAAGTATAGGGTTTTGCACTTAACTGCATAGCTCCACCCGAGGCCCCCACGGGGAGTGCGACTACACGCTGTTCAATACCTTTCTAAAGCTTGGCCTAGAGACATGGTATTAATGGAGGATTGACTGAAGGACATGCTGTGCGAACATTCCTCTATCGATCCCCAATGAAATGCCATTCAACTGGTGCCTTGCGGAACTGCCCTTACCCAATTGTGCTGTGGCGGGATGCCAGTGCCCTTTGTTGAGGGCCAGAATAAAAAACAGGCCATGAAGCTGCTTCCTAGAAAAAAAAAAGTGGTTTACAAGGACACATCAGTGAAATTTCCCTCTGGTATCGATACTGCAAAAAGTCAATGCTTTTTCTGAACAGTGAGATTGCTCCCTACAGACAGTGTAAGCCGCACACCCCTGTATATCCCTCTCTGCAGTGGCTGCTCTCGGGAGGAGCCGAATGTCCAGTCTACTTCTGCTACACACTCTAAGCTCACTAGACTAGTTTGCTCCTATGTCCCCCTTCACTTCACTCTTCTTACCTATTGTTCATTTATCTTACCTGTTTGTAAGTCTCATTAAGTCCTTT